GATCTCCAGCCAGACCGAGATCATCGGGTGTTTCACTTACCTACCTGACTGGAGTACCTCAAATCTAGCTCTTAAAAGTTTTTGCTTCCAGCGGCGGCGTGTGACCCCGACCTGAGCTGGCATCAGGTCAACATGATCAACTTTTTCTATGTATACTGCTCACACGTTGCTGAAGATATGAAATGGATAGTTTACTGGCAAGCTTGAAAGGTTAGCTGTGTGTGTGTGAGGAAAGGGGGGGGGGGTAAGTCTAATACCTTACACACGGTGATTTAGAAATCTTAATGACCGTAGATTTCATTATAAGAGTTACCTTTATTTACAGTTGATAGTGATTACATGGTAGTTATAGGTAAAGGTGGTGTGTGTGTGAGTCAAATTGCCGGTATCAGTAAGTCCTGGACGTGGAGATTATTGCGTCAGGTAAATGTTTGTGTTAAAACTATTTTCTTTAATAATGGACGGTAAACTATTGCTTATTGACAGGTGTTAAAATTATTGCAGAAAATAATGTTTGGGTGTTAAACCCATTGTCTGTGATTACACTTTGGCTATAAAATAACTGTTTGAGATAACATTCAGGCGTCTTAGTTACTACTTTTGATGACGATTAAGTGATAAACTTACGGTTAGCTGTTGTGTGTCGATGACCTGTTAACGTTAATAAATGTAGACAAAAGTCAACGTAAATAAATGCTTAAAGCCGAGCGATGGCCAGAATGATAACATAAACACGTCATATTATGTCACCTATAAGCGGATGATTTACAGCTGTTACATCATCCACCTAAATCTAGATGGATGACTGCTATCCTTTCAGTTTGACCCACAGCAGCCTCACTCATCCAACTAAACACAGATGGATGACTGAAATTTATCCATATTCGTCGAGGGCGAGGATAAGTATACTTAATACCTCCTGACGTGTGTGGTCCGTAGATAATGCGACCCCTCACTCAGTATTCATGATGTATTCACTCAAAATCGGATACCAGAAAGGGGTCAACACAGAGTCCAGTCTCAGCGCTGAACCTCTCCGTCTGTCTGTCTGTTTGTCTGTCCTTTTCTGTCTGTCTGTCTTTGTCACTGAACTACTGCCAGCTAATACGTCACGATTGCTAACTGTCTGGCTAAGTAACTGAATGACAGACTAATTGATTAACTGACTTACCGACACAAATGGATAGTCACAACAGCAAAGAGAGATCAGGTAACAAGAGGTTCTGGTCAGCTGTTCACCGCAAATCAGAATTAACAACTTGTCTCGTTCTGTGTCAGTTATAATGAAGGACACTGTTGGAGGCCTCGACCCTCTGTGGCTCTGGTGAAAGGACTGGTAGACGGGAGCTATACAGTTTTTTTTTAGTTTAACAAATTTATTGACAAAGCTTGGAGTACAGTTAGCCTATTCTGAGTAATTCATTCAGGTCTTGACACTGAGGGTGGTATCACTTCTCACTGCCAATCAGGACAGAGGTTCATACACAAAGGAATAGATCTTATTCATTAGCAGTATATATAGGTCAAAGTCATGTGGGTGATGTCACTGTTCACTGCCATGCAGGATAGAGGTTCGTACACAAAGAAATACATCATATTCATGAGCAGTATATATAGGTCAGATTCATGTGGGTGATATTACTGTTCAATGACATGCAGGATAGACTTCGTACACAAAGAAATACATCATTTTCATGAGCAGTACATATAGGTCAGAGTCATGTGGGTGATGCCACTGTTCAATGCAATGGTAGCAATTACAAAGTTCATGATACAATAAGCCAGGTGGCCCAGGTGGCCTGAAGTCTTTGACAGTGTCACATTCAATAATACAGTTCCAGTGTATGCTTTAAAGGTTTATCACAAAGTTTACATGATGAGTGTTCAGGTATGAGTACAGCGTTACTAACTTGCCAGATGTGTCTGTAGCCTAGCCTAATTCTGGCCACAACTATATCACATTGTCTAGTTCTGTCCTTATGCTGGCCATACCGGTACCTCTTGTCACAAAATTTGTCATATTTACTAATGCTACAACTGCCAGGTCTCTCTGCATTTCTCAGTTCTTCTAGATCAGAGCTCATGATTCTGACTTGAATGTTCTTAAGTACAGGCCAAGATCACGGTCAATATTTTCTTTCTTACATGCCTCATTGGTAAGTCTATCAGCAAAGTCATGATACCTAATTCCAACATGGGACGGAATCCACACATATTCGATACGAGAGTTGTTCTCATTGGCAGTTATCACATTTCCTTTAATATCGCATACAACTTTAGACATAGAACCTGACGCGCTGTTCATTGATTTCAAAGCACTTTGAGAGTCACAGAATATCACTCCACCTCCATTTTCTTTAAGGTAGTCTGTGGCTAAGTACTGTAGATTCCAGTTAGTTCAGTTTGTGCTGTGCTGGCCCAGTTGTTCAGCTTTTGCTTGTTTGACACTACCATCTCCTTTTCTTTATATATTACAATTGAACAACCTTTTCTATCTGTGTTTGTCTGCACAGAACCATTAGTAAAAGTATAACATTTGATTTAATACTTTCTATGTGTCTGTTAATAGTTTCTAGTGTGACACATCTCATCACATCGGTGTTTAACATTTGCTTACTCCCAACAGGAGTATAACTAATAGGAACTGATATATCCAGCCAAGGAGGAATGGCATTAATGGGTTCGTGTGGGGTGATTGGAACATTCATTTTCAAGAGATCTGCAACACTTTTACGAAGCCACGCCCCAAAGAGAGTCTTTTATGGAAGGTTAGCGAGATAGTCTGGGTTACTTAGATGAACATCAACTCAATTTCAGCTATAGTTTGGGGACCATTGTTCTTCAAAACTTTGACTCAAAACATGGTATTAAGTAGAGCGATCTTCTCAGATAGAGGGGGCAGCCCGAGCTCTTTCCTCATCTTTACAATTCTGGTTGATTTTGGGCATCCTAGAATGATGACCATGGCTTCATTTTGCGCTACCTCAAGGCTGTTGAGTTGCTTAGGCGGAATAGTCACAAGATGGAGAGCATGATAGTCGCTACAGAACGTAGAAAGTACGAGCATAGGTGATATTAATTCCATAGCCCTTGCCAACAAGGGTTCTGAGGGGTTTAATGCGCTGCATTATTTTGACACGAAGGTTGCCGACAAAGTTTGCATCATTCCCACAAATTCCAAGATATTTAAAAGAGCTACATAGTTCCAAGGGCATGCTGTTAATGTTATAGTCAAGAGGCAGGGGGTGAGCAGGACGAGGATTGAGGACCCTCGTCTTGTCAACACATTCCACAGTCCTCCGAGTAAATACATCCAGCAAGGCTTGGAGCCTGAGCTTGAACTGTTTTCTAAAAGCTCCCCCACTTACCGTGTAACGCCGATCAAAAGTGAGTGATTACGATTTACGAGACATAAATCCCTTTACCTTTATACTTATATGATATTGTCTCTAATATGTGGGTGTCTTAACATGTGTTGTTTTGGTGTTAATATGCAGAAATTACCCTCTATCATTCTTATAAGTGATTTCTTAATGTTTAACCTTGAACTTGTGTGATTATTCAGTAAGGGTACTTATATTAATTTCTGGCCTGCATCTAGGTTTTATTATAATTATTATTATTATTTGCATGTAAATAAGTATTTTAAGTACAATAATAAAAATCTCACTGTTCGATTTACCTATCCTCTACCATACTTAATTGATACCTATTTAATTAACTGCTATTACCTTGATTACACTTTGCCTTGTCTACTGTGTTGAAACTTGTGGTTGACAATCTTACATAATTATCAAGTGATCATTGGAATTGCTGTAACAAATCACCTTATGGTCAGCTAGAAGTTTCAATAATCCGTAACAGCTGGTAGGATGGAGGTAGTCAAAGGGCTGGTAGGAAGGGGTTGGTGAAGAGGGCCGGTAGGAGGGAAGAGAAGAGGTCTGATTGTAGGGAAGTAGTGCGGAGGACAGGTACAAGAGAGGAAGTGAAGAGGGGATATTAAAGAGGGTTGGTAGGAGGGAGGTGGTGAAGAGGGCTGGTAGGAGGGAGGTAGTGAAAAGGGCTGGTAGGAGGGAAATAGTGAAGCAGTAATAGTGAAGAGGGCTGGTAGGAGCGGGTTAGTGAAGAAGTCTGGAAGCTGCACTTCGCCCGCCACTCCTCCTCACGCACTCTTAATTTGGCTCCCTGATATACTGTAAATTTGGCACAGCGTTGATCCCAGTCATTGTCAAGAATATAAGAAAGAAATTTGTCCGGGCTACTCTGGGCAGTGGGTAGTCTGCCATATTAAATCTGTCAGCCACACTAGGACAGGTATTGGAGATAAAACAGACGGAAGAACAAAGATACGAACGGACAAATTCACATTAGCAGCACAATAAAAACTTGGCCAATTTTCACCAGGCAAGAAGCACAGGTGTGAGGACACACACCAGCAAGACAACAAGTACCGGTATACACGCACAGAAGGACAGCGGGTACATAAGACATAAATAACTTGGACACAGAAAGTTTCTTCAGAAGTATCAGTACATCCAAGTATTGTGGACAGATACAGTAATTCTCAGGTTGTAACTGTATATCAGTGTGAACTAAGATATGATTAAAACTGTAACGGAAACCGAAAACCATAGTTATTTGATATAAAATACAAGTACAGTTATTTCCTTTTATGTGGACTCTATAAATGTGGTGCCATAATTTACTCACAGATATGAGTAAAACAAGTAAAAAATGGGGGCAACACGAGATTACAACCCAACGAAGACGTGGGTGTTCACTAGAACAATACAAGCACAATGAAGAGGCAGGATTCCTTCCTCCTGCGGGGTCAACACTGTCGGGGTCACACAGGAGTCCACTTTACCTCCGCCTAATATGGAGGATATGCACAACGTTAACCTTGCCTCGTATGCTTGACCTGTTTCCTTAGCTTGTTACTGCCTTCCTTCAGCTTAGCTTCATAACTGCCTGTAATGAGGAATATCGACTGTAAAGACCTGGGTCAAATAACAAGAGTAAAGCTGAAGAAGAGGTGACGTCTAGAGCTGAGGGAGAGGTGACGTCTAGAGCTGAGGGAGAGGTGGCGTCTAGAGCTGATGGAGATTTGACGTCTAGAGCTAAAGGAGAGGTGACGTCTAGAGCTGAGGGAGAGGTGACGTCTAGAGCTGAGGGAGAGGTGACGTCTAGAGCTGAGGGAGAGGTGACGTCTAGAGCTGAGGGAGAGGTGACGTCTAGAGCTGAGGGAGAGGTGACGTCTAGAGCTGAGGGAGAGGTGGCGTCTAGAGCTGATGGAGATTTGACGTCTAGAGCTAAAGGAGAGGTGACGTCTAGAGCCGAGGGAGAGGTGACGTCTAGTGCTGACGGAGAGGTGACGTCTAGAGCTGAGCGAGAGGTGACGTCTAGAGCAAAAGGAGAGGTAACGTGTAGAGATGAGGGAGAGGTGACGTCAAGAGCTAAGGGAGAGGTGATGTCTAGAGCTGAAGGAAAGGTGACGTCCAGAGCTGAGGGAGAGGTGACGTGTAGAGCTGAGAGAGAGGTGTCGTGTAGAGCTGAGGGAGAGGTGACATCTAGTGCTGACGGAGGGGTGACGTGTAGAGCTGAGAGAGAGGTGACGTGTAGAGCTGAGGGAGAGGTGACATCTAGTGCTGAAGGAGAGGTGACGTGTAGAGCTGAATGAAAGGTAAAATTTAGAGCTAAATGAAAGGTGACGTCCAGAGCTAAGGGAGAGGTGTCGTCTAGAGCTGAAGGAAGCGTGACGTCCAGCGCTGAGGGAAAGGTAAAATCTATAGCTGAAGGAGAGGTGATGTCTAGAGCTGAAGGAGATGTGACGTCTAGAGCTGAGGGAGAGGTGACGTCCAGAGTTGAAGGAGAGGTGACGTCTATAGCTGAAGGAGAGATGACGTCTAGAGCTGAGGGAGAGGTCACGTCTAGGGCTGAGGGAGAGGTCAGGTCTAGAGCTGAGGGATAGTGACGTCTTACAACACGTGAGGACGAAGGAGACACTCCGAGATAGTAAGAGTTATGAGGGTGGATGAATCTTTGTGTCCACGTTTCACAAAGTTCGAACACGTGCCATGTGTCTGTACTGTACTGTACTGTACTGTACTGTACATTTTTACTATCCCAGTCCAAACTAAATGATGTGTGTTGCTGTTAGGTAATATCCACATAATTTATTCGATGGTTATACACTTAACTATGTATAAGGTTTGCTCTTTTAGTTAAGTTACACATTACCCTCATAAACATAAAGGTGACTGGCGTCGGTGTAACTGTTTTCTGTCAGGCTAGAGATAACGGACGAGTCCTTCAGGAGTTATAATGTACAATGAAGGATACATGAAGGACACGACGACGAGTTCAACGGATATATCATTAGATTATTATTAAATATATACAGTAAGTACTGTACAGTGTACAAGAATACATAAATAAATAATATAAACATCGAGAACGTACAGAAATGTGGAGATTAATTTCTTTAAACTCTGGAAAACAGTACAGTACACAGTAGGTGAGAAATTATCCAACACTGCGGTCGGAGTTAAGCTGGGTAAAGGTGTTGAGGCAAGAAACTGATGACAGGAAGAACATTACTAAAAGTATAGTGACACAAAGATAAAATTCCAGGAAGATAGAGCATTTAAAGCTGATAAAAGGTCAGCCTTAAATCACATTGCGTACGCTCTCGTCTCGCTGCTACATTGTTTACAGCTGTTTGCATAGATAAACACGTAATACGACGAATTTCAAGTGCGTTTTAAATATTAATTTTTGCATTTAAAATTTTTTAATCAACTTGTTTACCCTTATCTAAAGTATCTTTTGAGTAATGATGCTAACGTTTTAATCATATTTGAGTAATTTGCAATATTTTACACAAAATTTACCAACGACTAATGAAATCGGGCAGGGCCCACGTAAAAATGGGCTTAACCAAAACTGGTTTCAACTAGGCGAAATCCTTTTCCATTCTTTCACGCCATACGCTTTGTTTTAGGTCCTATCCAATATACTACCGCATATAGAATTGTTTATATTATTATATCAGTTATTTTATTGTCTCACATGCCCACAACTCTCCAATATTAATCAAAATATTCTCCATAAGCGGCCATGATCCGCACATTTACAC